CCTAGCTTGTTGTGGTTTTGTTTTCTCACCCACACAGTTTTCACATATCTTCCCAATTTTACTATTTTTAAATTGCAAATAAACTAAAAGCTTATACAAAGCTTGACCTCTTATTGAATTATAATCTGAAGCAGCTGCATCATGACTGTGGCTCAGTTTCCTGCTGAGGCTCTTTATATTTACCCCTGACCCTCAGTGTGATTGAGTTTTAGAATCAATATGGCGCCCCCTCGCTAGATTCGCTCAGGTCTCTTCTATGTAATACCTCGGATCTGTTGTAATGCTTTCAGTACATGATTTCTATTTCTGTCTGCATCCCATAATATGCTGCTCTGTCTCCTTGACGACATGCCCAATAATAGCAGCGGGAGAGGTTGTCATGGATATGGTAACCGTAGTGATGCTGCTCATCAGTCCTTATAGAGGAAAGACTGGTAGGAACCAAAGTTTGAGGAAGTATCTTCTCCCAGGGAGGAAATATATGCTGCACTTAGCTCAGGAAACACATCTTTTAGTGAAACAAATGTTCAATAATCTGAAGTGTAAATAAATGTAATTTTTGCTCCTTCAAATGACACTTTCCTCCTCTTGCTCTTCTTTCATTCTTCCATTTGATCAAATCAATATACTTTGAGATTGACCAAATAATGCTGTACTAACGAAGCAATTAGCTAATCAATAAGCCTCATTAGACACTAATTGATGGAGAGGAAAGAACACAGACACACATGTACACACATGTACACGCTAACACATACTTATGACACTAAATCCCCAGAGCAATAATGAGGCTTAATAGGATTGGCAGCTATTGAGGATTGAGATAAGGCTGGTGTGATTCTGTGTGTGCACCTTCAGGTTAAGCTGCTTTATTTGATTGTCTGCATACATTTATATATTGTCTGCCATGTTTGCACGTCTCTCATGAATATGAGTTTAGGATGTTCACGGTTGCTCATTTGTGTGTGATAAGGTATGTGTGTCAGGTGTGTAACGTTAGATGAATTGTTTTCATATATATAATATAATTAGTAATTTTTTGTCCTTAAACATGCCTTGGAGGTTTTATTTTATCCAACTCTGATTTGCTTTTATCTAAGATCCTTTTATTGGAGTTGCTGTCAGTTTTCTTTTGTATTTTTAATAGTGTAGGTTTTCCTGTGATTCAGAAGCATGCCTCCATGTAAAGGTCTTATACTTCAGTCCATTGAAACCACTTAACGACACAGACAACACATCTCTGGGATTTAAACGTTCAATTGATCACTTTCCAGTGTTTCCCACATATCTGAAATGTACTTGGGGGGGTGGTGGTAGCG